GACTTGCAGGGGCTCAAAGATCCGTTGAACGGGGCTTCGGGAATGCAAAAACATACACTTACAAGTTTCAGGCCTCTACACTACTTGAAGGGCTGGTTTCACCCTTACCGTACAATCACCATCATTTTGCCTTGCACGCAGAATACCCAAACTGGTGCCAACTGCCCTCTATCCTTGTTGCCCATCCAACCTCGGACCCTTCAACCCCCTAAACCCTCCACGCCACAACCTAAACCTGAGCCCTCAACTCTAAACCCTAAACCCTAGACCCAACCCTTCCCTAAGCCCAGCAGCAGCTGACCAATCCTGCAAGGCTTCATCGAAGTGCATGAGGCCAAGCTGAAGGCCTGTTGCCGGTTTCAAGCTTCAAGGGTTTGACTGCGACCCCAATGACCTACAGTACAGTTTGGTAGTAATTGAGAAACTGCACCCTAAACTCTAACCCCAAACCCGTAAACCTAAACCCGAAACCCTAAGCCCGAAAAACTCAAGCCAGAGCAGACTGGCTCTGCTGTAGCATGATCTACTGAAATCAGGACCGCAACTGAAGGCCAATCTAGGCGTAGACATTTTCAGTGGCTTTGGGCAGATAGCTATACTGATAGTTCTACCGGCTATACGAAGGAAGGGCTAGACCCAGTTTACACTATCTATTGTTCTTAGACTGCTACACTTGAGTTTCAAAGGCCTCAGACTTACCACTTAGCGTAAAACAGACAAGCACCCACGCCTAAACCCTAAACTCTACTTCTAAGACTGCCACCCTACCGCCACAGCCACAGCCGCTGAGTGGTAGTGGCATCGGTTATCATGTATTCAGCTTGATTTGCCCTAAACCCTTTACATAAACCCTAAACTCTAACTTTAGTTTGAACACTCTTTGCGAAAAGAACTGAGGATTGGGCCCACACTGGGCCAGTCAGGCCAACCAGCACCAGCAGCATCCTGAACCGCTTCTCACGGTTGAGACTTTAGATTTTTTTTTGGGGGGGGGGTTGGGTTTTGGAGTTTAGGGCCTAGGCTAGGATTCCAGGGTTTTAAGTTTCAGTTTTGGATGGTCCGAGGCTACGGTTCGTCTCTAGTCCACGGCACAGCTTGTTTCTGATTCCTGGCTGTTGAGGACATCACGCCGAGACCGCAATGCTAAACCGCCACATACACGCATTCGTTCTCGTAATCGGCCCACGAAGACTCGTCGCATACTCCACCTGCATTCACCCAACTTGGAGGTCGCCAAATGATGTGCTTAGATACTTCTGATAGCTAAGGCCTCACTCGAAACTCCCCAAGTTCCATAAAAATCCTGTGCTTGGACTGGTATCTCCCTAGGTCCGGTAGCTATGTCCTTATCAGCCCGCCCACTAAGAACTTCCCATAAGCCTATGCCTCACATCCAAGACCTCAACTCTGAGCCCTGCGTGCAGCATCCTTTTATGTGGGTTTGGGGTTTAGGGTTTAGGGTTTAGGGTTTTTGATGTGGTGGTCTTAGGGCTTAGGGTTTTTAATGTGGTGGTTTTAGAGCTTACGGTTTTTAATGTGGTGGGTTTAAGGTTTAAGGAGGAATGGCAAACTACTGTACAGCGCCGAGTGGCAGAGCTGCAATACGGCCTGGGCGATACATTTAGCACAATCGGTTTCTCGTGTCCTCTTTTGATTAGCTTTTTTGTATGGTTGAGCTGAGTAAGATCGTAGAATACCACGACCAAGAGGATCAGACAGTATTGCTCTATGTTGGGGGCTTCTCACTGAAATTACTACAGCTATTGGGTCGAACACACATGAATGAGGGGGATACGGATCTTGTTGTGATGCTCAACTTGACTTCTTTTCACATCAAGATGAAACTTGAGGGCTGAAAGTTGGTGGGTTTGGGACCTGGAGATCAGATGTGGATGGTAGCCGGCACTACTGGGTGCGAGATTAGGGGCCTACGGGTCAGAATCAGACATGTAGCAACGGCTCTAGATGTCTCTCAAAGCCTTTAGCTCCCGTCCTAGCCCCCTAAACTCGACAGGCCGCTATCTCAACTCCAAAACTCAGCCCACATCCCATCTGCTCTAAATATGGAACACCGCTCCCTTTGACATGAGCTCCCTGTGGAGCCCCAACTGCTGCAGAAAACCTTGGAAATCTTCATCAACACCCGTGTAAGCTAACAAAACATCCTTCAAGCCCCTTCGAGAGCACCTTGAAGCTCCTTCCTGAAAAAGGACCTTCAGCCCAGCCGCACCATGCACATGAGACCTTCTTCTTTCTTCGGGAGGCCGGAAGGTCCTCCTCCATCTGGGCCTCCTTGGCAAGGGGTTGGAGTTTAGGGTTTGGTTCTTTAGCGAGCCCCAAACCCTAAACCATTGGTGGCTTTGGGGACTTGCTGACGAGGTTTGGGATTTGCTGCTTCAGTTGGGGATTTCGGGGCACCTGGGCGGCTTGGTAGTATGGTTTTTCAGGTTGTAGTTTAGGGGTCTATGGGGGCTAAGTAAAGGTTGTATAAGGAATAACGGAAAAGAAAATGGAAACAACTATATTACATATATATATATACATATGTATATGTGCGGAGAACCCCACCACCCTGTAATAGTGGTATTTATAAGCATCAGGAATTTAAAGAACCCCGATATAATCCTTATTTTCCCTTACAGTCACTAGTACTGGGTGGGATGTGTGTGTGTATACATATATATATATATATGTATATATATGGGGGTTAAGTTGAGTTGAGTGTTCAGCGCTCAGGGGTTGGATCTACAGCCCCAAAGAAGCGCCTAAACAACGCCCTGGACTCAACCGGACATATCTGGTTTAAGGCTCAGGGTTTCGGATTTAGAGTCAAGATGGGTCTAGGGTTTAGGGCTCAGGGCTTAGGAGCTTGCGAAGATTAGCGATGAAGAGATGAGCAGCGGACCAGAGTGCACGAAACTCAAAGCGATGCTCATTTCAACCCCTCTGTGCCCCACAAAGAGCCGGTTTAGGATTAGGGTTCAAACGCGGTTTAGGGTCTAGGGTTCCGGGTCAACTTCGTATAAGCAAAATCCAGAAAGCAAAGCAGCGATTCTCACATTAACTCAAAGCACCCTGTAACCCCATCCGACTCAAATACACTCAGGACGTTGGAATATTCATGTGACTAAACTCCTAGTACCAGCCCTTAACAGCCCTATAATAGTCCCCTAGAGAATCCCCCTATAACCTTTTAGGAGTTTAGACTATAGCTCATGTATCTCAAAGAGATTGAGAATCTCCACGGCCCCCCCTTTTGAGAAGCACCCATTTTAAAAGAGGAAAAGGCGCCATTATGGTGTCGGTCTTGGGGCGGCGTCACCAGAGGGCAGCTCGCACATGGCTTTCAAACACGCCAAGCTAGGATTTTTGGACTTGGCTCTGAGTGCAAGGTTCGGGTTAAGGGTTCAGAGCTTAGGGTTTAGGGTTTAGGGTTTGGGGTTAGGGTTTTCGGGAGTTGGGTGTTGAGTTCTGGGTTTAGGCCAGGATTTTGGCTTTGTGGCTTCCCTATTGTTTTCCACGGCCTATTGAGTTTCCAGAATCTGTGTTCCAGGAGGTGATGACGAAATCATGAACCAGGAAACAACCATGTGGGGCTCTTCTCATGACCCCTGGACTTCATGGTCTTAAATGGCTTCGGATGCTAAGAGTGGCCGTTTGATGCACGGGTACCTTGCGGGCAGACTCAACAATGTTCCTTGCACGTCTTGAGAAACGTTTACGATAACGTACCCAAAACCCTTAGATGACCATCAGAAAACGGGGCACCTCTCCTGATGATTCTGCATAGATAGACGATCCTGTTTGCAATGCTTCGAAAATGATTTCTGGCTCCCTAAGCTTGGAACTTTGCGACTACTGAGAATGCTGTATGCACGCTGGCTTTCAGATTTATTTTGGGTCAGTTGGGGCTTAAACCCTTAACCCTAAACCCTGGACTGTTTTGGGCTTCTGGTCTCTTGAGGCGTGGAGTTTACCGTCTCGGTGCAACGAACTCCGCATCGGAAGGGTTGTCGGTGGGCTCTAGGTTGAAGAAACACGTGCAAAATTCAGGCTTAGGGGTTTAGGAGTTGGGGCTCCTGTTTTGCATCGGCACATCTGCGTAAGTTGCTGCATCCAAATGTGAGGGAACGAGGATAGAGATAAGGCGGAATCATGCCAGGCTGCAGGTTTAAAAAGTCTTGGAACGTCTGCATCTCTCTCTGGGATTATGAAGTATAAGGTACATATTGGGGTCATATAGGGATAATGAAAAAGAAAATGGAAACAACTATAATGGGGATTAGGTACCCTATCCAAAAGACAAACAGCCTGGTTTGGAAAAAGGTTGAAATCCATGAACCCCCAGACAATACCCAGAATCGTCGCCCTTTCACCCCGGCATCTTATGCGATATTGCCAGGGCGTATGATGGCTTAGGATGGTTTAGGGCGATATGGTAGTTTCCCGAAATTAGGGAACCCCAGTATAGACCCCAAAATACTACCGTTCTTATTGGGGGACCCCCAAAATAAATGGTACCCATACTTTTGGGAAACCCCGCTATGGGCCTTCATAATACCAGACAGTCCTTCGACATCTTTCTCCAAACTTCAAGATCTTGAAGTCGGGCGGCTGTCAGATTCTTACTTGTTGTTAAGAGCAAATGGGGTAATGGATGAATATATAGCAGCCCCTATGTATTCCCGAACAATATTAACATAGTAGCTTTATGCTCTTTCCGGTCCTCGGGCAAAGTACGTGCACAGGAATCCCTATGGGCCCAGATCATGTGCTGATCAGGTACTTGGACCCGCAGCGGACTAACGATGCGACTGGCAAGAATGAGATTAAGATTCTTACTAAACTGGCCTCAGAACCCCACCAAAAATCATAATTGTTGTTTGTTATTGGGATTGTTGTAATCAAATGCCAAAAAAAGAAACAAGTATTTTGGAGGCCCCTTTAGCTTACGCATGAGCTCGAGATCTCCAAACCTTTCAAGACACAGAGCGCAGGACGAGCGAGTGGTGGGCCAACGACAATGGTCGCGCTGCCAACCTTTCTTTGAAGCGCTTGCGCTTAGGGCTTCAGGTTCAGAGTTTAGCTACAGAGTCCCGTGTTCAGGTAAGGGGGGCTGCGTCTAAAGCCTTCTTGAGGGGACTTCTTGGAACACAGACCCCACGGAGGATTTCAAACATATGCCGGACCCCAAAACAACAACTCTCGTTCTGACCCCCGGAATGATGAGGCACACTTCTGGTGGACCTGCAACCCTTTGTAGTCGCAACATCTGAGATGGATCAGCGTACCTCAACGTCTGAAAGCTGAACCCAAACTAACTTTCAAGCGATCTGGGGTCTAGTGTTCAGAGTCTACATTCTTGAGTCAAGCGTGCTACATGAGCTGTGTCCGGTGTAAGGAAATGAAGAATGGATCCCTTCAGTAGACAACTACAAATACATATATATATATATACATATATATATATGAAATTACAGGTAACTAGTCATCCGATAGCCCGCGCCTTCATTCCCTACTAGCAACCATAGACTGATGTAAAGAAACTACAAGTAGGGCACACGTGGCGCCTCTGCCATTGTTCCATCTGACATTTTGACGCATTACGGCTTCCCTTGCTGATCCTACACAGGGTCTCAGGCAACGGAGCCTTCCAGTAGCCCCGATACAACACAAACCCCACTTTAGGGTTTGGGGTTTAGGGTTTGGGGTTACCCTTGCCAGAATTCCCGATTCCTCGCTAAGCAAGAGTAGCGCATGGGACATCGTTTCTGTGACCTGACACTGCTGCCTTTCACATGCTCGAATTGTCACAACAACCCGAAGGCATCGGGGCAATTGCTACATGGAAGTTTCTCTGCCCTCTTTTGTGCCTGGAAGAACCCTTCCTTGTATAGACCCCAAGAACCATGGTTTGTTTGCATGCTCACATGTTGCCCCAAGACATTGCGACGGTGTAGCTTGTCCTCTCACATCTGATAGAACCTTACTCGTCGGGGCTCAATGCTTTTGAGATTAGGCTTTAGGACCCTAAACCCTAAACCCTTAATAAACCCAAAATTTTAGCTCAATTTTTTGACCCAAAATAGACTAAACCTCTTGTCCGCCCTCTTGCCTGTGGGATATCTCTTGGGCCTCTGGGCAGCCATGTATATGAGCGTATACTTACCAAAAGCATCCCACGAATCAGAGCATGCTAAACGAAGGTAGCCCCAAAATGCGGCTGACTTTTTAGCCAAAAGCCCCCTCAATCACATGGCACAGACAATGTATTCCAAAAGTCCCTCTCAATTGCCATCTACTACTGAAATATTCGTGGATGCAAATAACTATTGTTCCCACTATTCCTATTACTACTATTCCTACAGTTACGATAGCTATTATTACCGTTAATATTACTACTATTCCTATTAGTTCTGTCTTCTAGGACCATGGCAGGCAGCATAGACAACAGACTTGTGTTCAGGAATCCGTTGCATATGTGTAGCCGTTCATGTTGGAGGTAGACCGTACAGGGGACTACTATAGGGAATGTTAAGGAGGATACTTGGAGTTTAGACACTCTAGCTCATTTGTAGCCATTCATGTTGGAGGTAGCACGCAATAATTTCAAGCAGCCGGTAAATCCAGACTTCCATCTACGACGAGAATCAGTTTTCTACAGAATTTGCGCACCTTCTACCTGGAAACCCTAAACCCTAATTCCCACAGCTAACTGAAAGCGCACCCGACGCTCTGGCAACGGAGGGACTGGAGTAGCAACCTTGCAAATTTAGTGCCCAAAGTTTTGGGTGGTGCATTTAGGCTTCAGGGTTTTTGGATTTATGAAGGTCTTGGATCTAAATTTGAAGGTTTCCGGTAAGTTCAGAGTTTGGGACGTGAACGTTGCCCTGATTTTGTTCGAGATTGGAAGGTGGAGACAGGGAGCCTTTCGAGACATGTCCAGATGGTACATGAAATATGGGGAGGTCGCCATGTTGGCCTCACGGCTCCCAATCAGTCTAAGCCTTTTATCGGAGAATGGCAAAAGGTTATAGGCCTTTAAAACTTCAGATCCTGCGAAGGACCCAAAATGTGTTTGGGGTATGTCTTGTTTGGATCCCGACAGTCATAAGAGGATTTTTGTAAACCAGAACTCCGTTATAGCAGCTGTGGGTCCTAATTTTGAGGCTTGGGGTTACCAAAATCCTCTTATTCAAAGGGCTTCTGAACAGCGCATCAGAGGGCAGTCCCAGCATAGCCGTACCCAAGTGACATCGGGTCACTACCTAATAGTGACTAATAGTGACCACAAGAGAGAATCTGAATCATGTTATGGTCCCTCTATGCTGCCATTTTACTGCGTTGCTGTCAAAGAACTTTAACTTTAAATTAAGTCACTATAATGACGAAGCCCCATTCGTTACTATATACCCCTACTACAGTAACTTAGTTTAAATTCCTTAACGGCAACCCGGTATACCCACAACGAGTGGGTGAAGGGATAACCTGACATCTCCGTCTCTACAAGCCGTACACCCTGGGCACTCCTTGGAACCCAACGTTTTAGGATTTAGGCCTTGGGGCAGTGAAGCAGAAACATACCAAAACCCAAGCCACAAACAAAAAAAAACTTCAACCCCCTTCAAGAAGAAAAATCCCAAACCCTACATCTTTAATTCTCAGCCCTGACCGTGACTGCACACCTAACTGTTCAGTCCGCGTGGTGCAATGCTTGAAATCTTGCTCGTGATCCTTGCTCTAAGACCTCGATTGGCCAGGAGTGTAAATCCCTGTTTCAAACCTCACAATTTAGGGTTGTTCTACCTTGGTTATGCACGACCCATAAGGACACGCATCTATATCACAAAAATTAAAAGTTGTGCATGACCCAAGAAGGTGAAGTCCGTCGTCGTGTCCACATAGGGGTGGTTGAGGCTTAGGATGCTAAACCCTAAGCCCTAAACCCTAGACCCTAAACCCTAAACCCTATAGACCCTAAACCCCAAACCCTATAGATCCGAGACCCTAAGCCCCTTAACCCTAAACCAAGGTTCGGGGGTCAGCGTTCAGGATTCAAACCTTGCATTCGAAGCTTACTTTGTGTGACCCTGGGGCTACACCAAAGGATTCGAGAACCTACATGAAGGGCTATAGTAGGATTCTATGGGCTTACTTAGGGGATAAAAAAATAATACCGAATTCCAGGATACCCAACGTAGTGGCTTAAGGGGTTCGGATATTACTGCTTCAGAAATCTCGCCTGAAGCGGCCGTGCTCCTGGGATTCGACAGCATGCTTGCTCGAACAGGTGTGGGGTTCAGGATGTAAGGCTGAGGATCTGGGATTGCTACAGTGGTATTGGGGCATGTACATCTCTCTCAGCATCGGGATTCCAAAATGAGGTGCCACGACTATCGTACAATCCCATGTTACGAGGATTTCTAACCCTAAGCCCTGAACCCTAATTTCTTGCCAGCCAAATCTGGCAAATGTTGGGCTTAGACGGGCAGAAGGAATGCCCAGCATTCAAAGAATACTTTGTGGGACCCGGTTTAGTTTAGGGTTCCCAAGGCCAATGGGGTGCGGGAACCAGCATATGTAGGCTTACCATCGGGTTCTAATATGGGATTATGAAGGGGAAACGATATGAGCTCAGTCAAATCCAGGGTCCTCCAAGTACATGTGTAAAGACGCCAGGATAAGACAGCATGAGAAAAATCATAAGGAAAGCAGAAGATACTTCTAGGGGTATGGGGACTTACAGTACAAGGATTCACACCCGGAATGTAAGTTTCAGGATGTAGGATGTTGGAATACTTTGCAGTTTGAGGTTTCAGTTCCACGGTGCAAGCAAAACCCCTAAACCGAGTTCAGGGTCTGGCAGATACGGGCCATGGTCTGCAGTCAAGGATGGTTGCCAATTTGGGAGCCTAATTTTGCTGAATGTTTCTAGGCCCGCGCTTTAAAGACCCATGGATTCCTATAGACTGGGCTCGAGGCCATACTGACCCCACGCAGAACGGTCCAACCCCCTTCGTGAAACAAAGGGGACCGTAATCATTAACCTCCCGGAACGCCCTGAACAAAAAGACTTGCCCAAACGTGCATGCCCACACTCTTCAACACCATCTCAAAGAGCCATAACTCCACATCCTCAACTGCAAAAGATAGCAAAAACAAGCTACAAGAACGAGGGGCCCAGGGGTGCGGCAAAAAAAGTCAGCTAGAAAGGTAATTACGAGCAATGGTCAAAGTTAACTGCACGTCAATTATGCCCCGCAAAATTACACCCAACAACCTTGAAGTAGATAATGAAAAAGAAGAACATGGAAGCTACCACGTTTTTCGGTTTAGGGTTCTAAGCCCTATATGCAGCAGTAGCCGCTGTAGAGTTCAGGTTTCAACAATGAGAAGCATGGCTCCTGGAGGCAAGTAGGCGCTTCGAGCCATCGTGGCGCTCACCCGAGCAAAAGGGTCTGGCTGACAGGAACTAGGTAAAGTGGTCCACTTATTATACGTATATCACCTAATACCAATGTTGCTTGCGAGATACCTACAACCAACTAGAGGATATACCCCTGATTACACCTTGGGTTTTGCCTACCTGGGACAGGAACTGGGCTTATGGGTGCATGCGTACTATGGAACCTTGCGGAATAACCAAAAGTTTCTCTCATGTTCCTCACGTGCTTGTGCTGAAGCTTCTTGGTTGCAGGGCGCTAATCAAGTCAAATGTGAACTTCAAGTGTGCCCGGAAGAAAACTGGTTCTACAAGAAGAGGTCTTGGCAACCGCACACCCAAAAATGTGGACCTTATAGCTCTCCTATGACTACAAAAAAACCAAGTTTGTGGGATCGGGGTTATCAAGATGTCCTTGTGCCTCCCTGAAGTACCCAGTCTCTATGTCATTTTCCCATGTGTTTGTGGTGGGCTTGAACGTCCTGGAGGTTGGCAGGAAGAGTAAGATTTTGAGCGTGGGAGAGTTTAGGATTCACGGCTTTCGGTTTGGGGAGTATGGAGGGGGGAAAAAGGTGAAACCTACTTCAGATTTGATGGTTTGGATTTGGGAGAGTGAACATAGGTACGGCAGGGAATATAAACGATTTTTTAGGAATCTACTTTACGCACTTGCTAATTGCTAGTAGGGATGCTGCATCACCTGACATGAAATGGGCAACTCAGGGATGTGATTGGTTTATGGTCTGAGAATAAGTGCCTTGGCTTCACCCCGGGGCCCAACTCCAGCCTTACAACGAAGATGTTGTAGGATTTAGGGCTTAGGGTTTAGGGCATAGCAGTCAACCCAGCCCATAACCATCCTGAGTTCAAGCAATTTAGGGTTTAGATCCCAAAGTCATATAGGCCTCCTGGCGGCCAAGGCAGCACCCAGAGGGTCCGCAACTCAATCGGAGACCAGGAATGGCATCATTTTGTTGGAGCTTCTGGCATTAGGCGAAGCTGTTTTGCCGGATAGAGTGACATCCAAGGCCACGGAAGGACCGTCATGTTGGGTTACTTCCGAGGCTGCGCGGGGCAGCCATGGGTCAGTGCTGGCTTTCTGCGAGGCTGTCGCGCCGAAGTACTGTGCACGGCGACGTCAGCCTCGCAATCAGGTAAGAATTGGTCAGGGAGCAGCCACTAAGGGTCTTGGATACGTTGATGGTTTCGGAGACGCCCGAATTGGTCTCGCAGCGGCCTAGAATCAGTCTGAGCTGCCTCGCGACAGCTTGGGGCTCCGTGCAAGAATGTTTTGGGACTGTACACCCCTAAACCCCAAACCGAAGACGGGCCTTCATCCCTGGACCTCTAAAGAAGTGCACCTTTTTTAGGGTTAGCAAGCTTGGTAAACTTGAATTCTTGCCGCAGGTCAATTACGCCAGGTTAATTGTAGCATATTGTAGCTAGGTAGGTACAAACACTGGTGTGGTATGTAAGGGTAAATCTTAAAAACCATAGGAGATTACCTGGTTGCAACTTGGGATTTCCCTGACCGAGGCTTAGTGGTGTATCGGTTTCGGGTCTGGCTTGGTCAGGGGTCGGATTCGGGGTCTGGCCTGGTGATGGAGAATACTGTGAGAGTCTGGAATGGAGCTGCAGCCTCAAATCGGCAGTAGGGGATGCAAAAGAAGCCGCGCAAGAGGGTTTCCTCCGTACTTCGCCAACATTTCCAAGGGAGCCTACGCACACAACCAAACTCTTGCTCAAACCTTACAGCCTCTGGACACTTGATAGCGAAGACCACCTGCCACGATGTCACAACAGTCCTTGCGCACAGCAACCCTAAACAAAAAAGCTGCGTTTGCCTCTCTTAAATCATGACAGTGAGGTAGAAGACAGTCGCCCAAAAAGTTGGCCTGCAAGAACAGGTGATCTATAGAACAGGGATGGACAAGGTTTCTGACAGCTCCCCGAAAATTCCTATGCACGAGCTCTACTGTGAGATGTTTCAAGACATAAGAAGCAAAGAACTAATGCCAAAGAAAGAAGCCCCCGAATCCCAAGCCCCTAACCTTCAATTCCACAACGACCATTCTCAAGAACCCAACCCGAAAAGAGGGTTCAGAAAATTGGGGCTACCCCTTTGCGTGGCCATATAAGGATTATAATATATTATAATACGTTGGGGTTGTTTATGGAAACTGCAACATAACCACTGTTTCCAACTTGTTTTCCATTTTCTTGACGATTTAATGCTCAATCGTTGGGGCAATATTGCGATATGAACCCCATATAACCCCTTATATTACCTATATAGTGGAAACTACCACCCCTTCCTGAAGCAATCCAGGCGGGCTCACGATCTACCAGAGGAGTCATAGGCCTTGGAACATGGCCTCGGACAAGTTTGACGGTATGGGCTTAGATTATAGGGATAATGGCAACGAAGATGGACGCTACGATTTACGGTTGAGGGGTTAAAGGATTTGGGTCAAAGGTTGAGGATAGCACTCACGATACGGAAAATTGAAAAAAATGGAGAAACTGGGTTTCCACAGGCTTACAGGGATTGTATACCAATGAAAAGGCGCACAATCCAAGGATGCTAGTAGAGAGCAACAGATGGCAAATCATTCGTGAGGGTTGACATTATCCTTCTTGCTTAATGAACTTGCCATATTGGAGGGTATGGGTTCTATGCTTGGGGGAGAGGAAGCAACCCTACAAACTGAAACATGGCCAGTCTTTGAAACTGCATACAAATCAAACGTCTGTTAGCTTGTTGAGATAGTCTGGGGAGTTCTTTGAAAAACGTGTTCAAGGCATCTATCTCAAATACTCGGCACAGATGAACTGTACCAAAACACTACCAAACCGAAGTCCTTAACCCTGGACTCCCAGTCCTTCAACCCTAAATCATTAACCCTTAGACCTGAAACCTGAAACCTAAACCCCAAACCTTACATCTTCAACACTAAACCTGGACTCCTAAATCCTAAGCCAAAATCTTGGACCCTAAACCCTGAATCCAAAATCGTAAAACCTAAATTCTAAACCCTGGGTCCTAACTTCTGACATCTTAGACGATAAGCCCTGAATCCTTCATTCCCACCCGGCCTGCTGACACCGTTCCCGCCCTTTATCCTAAAAGGAAATAGTTTTGAGTGATAGCCCCTTGATATCTCACAGCGGGTGAGAGTGCCGGGAATTCCCAATTTCGATAGGCTCTTGCACAACATCGTGCGAGGGCCGCTTGGCGCAGGATTTGCCGCCACCCACAGGCTCCTGGGCTTGGGGTGGCCTAAAACCCTGAAGCCCAGACCCTAAACCAAGAATCCTACATCCTGAACACTAAATCCTAGACCCTAAATCCTAAACCCTAAATCCTAATCCCTAAATCCTAAACCCTAAACCCTAAACCCTAAATAAAACCTCTGGGATCCCTGGCTCTCCAACTGTGCAGGCAGAGATTGCCTTGGCTGCTGCGGCACCTTGCTGCCGGCTAGTCTAGGGTTTTGCTGAGGGTTTAGGGTTTACGTAGGCCTGTTCGCATCGTACGGTTGATACGGCAAAGAAGGTTTAGGATTTGGAACGGTTCCAATGGCTGAGATGAAGCAATCTGGGTGCTACATTCAATGAAACTCCTATTCAGGGTGAGGTCAGGTAATGTCGTCATAATTTGCAGTCTATGTGTGTATGAAATTACTAGTTCCTTTTGAAGACCTTGCTTGAAAACTGTTCTGATATAAATACTGAATTTCTCATTGGAATAATATTCAACACTCACTGGAATAATATTCCAATAATGTTATTCCATGTTTCTAGTACTCCGATAATGAATAAGTCTAAGCAACAATGACTCCGATAACGAGCTCAAGGTTGGCGGTGGCGGGATTCTGGCCTACGGTTTAAGGCCTACAGCTTGGGGTTTATGATTAAGGATTTAGGTTTAGGTAATTCTTGATGCAACATCAAAGAGGAGAAAAGACAGGCAGAACTTGCATGGGCCAGCTGCTTCTCAGGAGTACTAAGGATATGATTCTGTCTGCAGTTGCTATGCAGTCTTGCCTTTGCAATCTCTCCATACATAACTCTAGCATCTCATAGAAACGTCCATCAATCCGATGACACAAGACTAGGCTGCCGCCCTTCATTTCCTATTTTCGCAAGCTGTGGCGGTTAAGCTTAGTCTTGCAGCGGCCTCCCAACATAGGTGTACGGCAACAGCACCCTCTGACCCCAAACCGTGAAAACTGAACCACTAAAACCCCAAAGCATTGAACCCCTAACCTCTGTCACAAACTTCAAGCCCTGGTGGTGTCGAACTGAATGCAGGAACACATAGCAATCATGTAACAGTTAGTGACCACAGACAGCATACTCAGAATGATGTGCAAGAATTGGGGCACACGCACCCACAAACCCCACGAAGTCTCACCTATCATATGTCCTCAAGATTGAAACCCTCAACACAAGCCCAAGCCAATAACCCTGAACAACCAAAACTGCAACCTCTGAAGCGACAAAGGCGTTTGACCAAACACTCTGTGCTTCTCTCGTGAGGGATGCACGGGAGGCCGCACTGGCGCAACCTACCGAGACATAGAGATCTCTGATGAGTATATTAAAGTATAGTATAGTAAAGTATAGTATACTATATTATAATGTACATACTATAATATATTCTAGAATTTTTATATATACATATACACTATAATGCAGTGTAGTGTAAGGCTGACGCATCAAAAAAAAATTGCCAACCATCAAAAAGAAATTTGATTCTAAA